TATGTGTACATGTATATAAGATGTGTAGGTTAGCTTAACTAGTCCAAAGTTTGGGTCCTTTGAAAAGGAGAAGCCTGGAGAAGTGAGATTTTAAAATGAGTGATGAAGCTCAGAAAAGGGACAGAAAAAGGGAATTAAGAGCTCACAGAAAGGTACCCAGAAGCAGTAAAACAAAGGATGCAAAGGAATTGGAGATTTGGGGTCTGTACTGGACTGTACAGAGAGGTTCTGGCTTATCATTAAAGTCATCATACAGTCAAAACAGGTTCTGTGAATCATTCTGGGTCTGGAAAACTGAGAGCTGGTGAGCAAGTGTCACTAGGAGAACGGAATGGTTCACACATGACATGAAGGGGAGGCACAAAGACGTGGGAATCAAAGAACACAGCACCCCCGCCCTCCACCCCAGCCCTCCCTGACGCAGCACTTCCCAGGCAGTTTGGACTACATTTCCCAGCATTCCATATCACTGACCACTCTGGCTGGGGGAGAGGGGAGTTGAAGTCCAAAATGCCTGGAGAGGACCTGATCAAGGAAAGAGGCAGCATCCAGCTCCATCGATTTCACTGAAAAGCAAAACCCTAACAGTGAAGGGTAAAATACAAGCTGTAAGAGCTTTTAAGTTACACCTTCGTGTCACATTCTCAGCTTCGCTAACCAATGCTATTTATTCCGTTATTTATTATAGCATAATAGCCTAACATTTTTCCATGAGGTTGCGATGGGTCGGACACAACTTCGCAACGAACAACAAAGGAACCCAACTCCCTTACAGTATCCCCCTCCTGTTTTATCCTTACAACAACAACCCTGTGAGGTAGGTTGGCCTGAGAGTCTGACTGGCCCGAAGTCTCCCAGTGAACTTCATGGCTGAGTGGGGACTTGAACCCGGGTCTCCCAGGCCCTGGCCCAATACTTCCACCCATGGTGTTCTCCATTTCCCATGTGTTGCAGAGTTTTTTAAGTCAGTAAAACATACAAAACATTTAAAAACTAGCTTGCTCTTGGTTGAGTCAAGGGTAACTCTCCACGGAAGACGGGGTTCTAGGAACGAATTTGCAATATTTATGTGTGTGGCTGTTTGTAAGGTGCTCGTTTTTGCAGTTCGGCCCAAATGGGCCATTGTGGGTTCGGGTTCCGCTCACTCTGGAGATGTCTTTTCCTCCAACAAGCAAACCAAGAAACAAACCTGCCGTGGCTCCACGGCTCTAAGAACGGGAGCGAAAGGAGCACAGATGAAAATGCCCTGAGGGAACCCTGTGGCCGCATCCCGCACCCCCCTGGCTCCACCACGAGCATTAAGCGCACTAATTAGCTGCTTGCACACCAGCCAAAGGGAGGATTTCCTTCCAGCAGGCCCAGGAGAGGAATTTCATTTCCTCCCCAATTAGCCCTAACGAAGTGAGCTGGTTCCATGGCAGCGAAGCAGCAGGAACGCCATCCAGCCTTGCGTCGTGTGCACTGGCTTCACACGTATCTGGTCGGGGTGGAAGGCAGGCAGAGCTGCAAACGATGCGGATATGGGTTGTCCAGAGCGGTTCCAGGAGGGGTTTGGACGTACCTGTGGAAGCCAATCCGCCCTGGCTGCCCTGAGGGGAGAGCGCCTGCCGCGCAGCCCTCTTCATTGTGCTCCAGAAGTCGGAACTCATTCAGAATGCAGCTGCTGGCAGGAGCGGCCCCTTTTCCGCAGGAGGCTGCTTTGCCGAGGGAACTGCTCTGGCTGCCCCTTTGCTACCAGGCCAGGTTTTGGGCTCGACTACTAATGTACAAAGTCTTGAGAGATTTAGGACCACGATACCTGAGAGAGCACCTCCTCCCTTACCAACCCAGCCCCACAGCCCCTTTGAGGTCCACCTGCATCGGAGCCCCCTTCCTCTGGAACTCCCTGCCTCATGAGGCCAGACAGACTCCAACATGGCATTGCTTTGGTGCCTCCTGAAACCTTCTGTATTTCAGAAGGTCTTGTTTGGATGATCAGCCAGATTGGATTGATCTTAACATCTTTTTACCTGCTTTCTCTGTTTAGCATTCACTGCTCCTCAGTCTGTTTTGATGTGGAACGATCTATGCATGTTGTAAATAAATAAATCTCCAGGGATTGTGAATTAATGCACCAATGCACAGATTCCCACCATTTCTCCCTTGGCACACCAGTTTGCTTTCTGTGAAATCGGTGTTGGAGCAGAAAGCTGTGCACTCTGAGGAGCAAGAGGTTTGGTGTTTTACTGTCCAGGCTTGCGCAGAGGAGAGGAAGCCATTGTCTTGATTCAGACCTAAACAAATATATTCTAACTTGGGCCTCAGGGAGGGCGAAGCCAGCTGGCTGGGGATCCAGTTCCTTGAAGGGCTGGGAAAGCAGAGCGCAGTGTCAAGTTTGAGATCTTAACGCCCCTCTGAGCTCGCAAGAGGGGAAGGCCGGCCTGCCCACAAGTATTTATATTCCTCAGGAAGATCCAGCTCTCCATCCAAGCAGGCACCAACCCTTGCCAAGAGCCCAGTGCCCAGTAACAGTCAGGACTTGTTTTTGCAAAATGTAACTTCATCGACAATAAATCAGAAAGTTGGAAAAACATTTAGCTAAGGGAAAAACTGCCAGTGCCCGGAGTAAGAAAGCGAGGAGATGGATGGGTTGACTCCTGCTCGGAATGGAAGAAATGCATCTTCTCTTTCCCTGCGTTAAAAAAATGGCATTTGAAAGTGGGGAAGAGAAGGACTTGTGGCGCTTAAGGTCAGAGAAGCCACATGAGTCCATGATCTTGACCATGTGGAATGACTTCAGATTGCAGTTGAGGGCGCAAAGGACCCAGCGAGCTTCCTTTGCACGAGAATAAAAACTGCACCTAGAGAAAGAGGAATCGATGAGAAGGCTGGAACCTTCTCCTTGCCTCACTGGTTTTCTACATGCAGGGATTTGAGGGGGGATTGATGCCCATTTCCATCCAGTGGGTCCTCGTGCTGCCTTGACCAGCTCGGCTCCTGTTCAAGACAAGGACATCCAAGTCTGAGCATGCCCCGGAAAACAAGCTGGGACAGGAAGATGGAATGTCATTCTCCGTTATCGATCTTGGCTTCTTCAGCCCGATTCAGATGTGTCAAGCAGGGCTGAGGCACCTGGGTAGAAGAGCTGCCCTGGCCTCCTGGATTTGCTACCATCTTGGTGCTCTTCAGTACTTCTCCGCATCCTTGCACCTTCTATTCTTCGCGTCCCTCCCAGCTCTCAATGTTCTTTTGGTGTCCTTCTCCATTTTTAAGACTGCCATCGGTTTCTTATCTCTGCCCATTTTTATCTCATTCCCTGTACGCTGCAGACCTCTCTCTGAATACCATAGAACTCAATGGGGATTCTTCCTTGTGCTTAGGGAATTTCCCTTTTATAAACTGGATCCCGCCAGGTTGGGGTTGACCCACGTGCTCTTTCATCTATAATGGCGCGGCCTTGTGTGTGTTGGAAGAAAGCCACCATATTGCTTCTTAATGGGTTTGTCCCCCAAGCTAAATGCACCCAGTTCCTTAAATCTTTCCTCCTGGGGCGTCTCGTCCGAACCCCTCACCGTCTTCGTCCCCCTTTCCAAACAGTCGGGTTGCCGACCTCCTTCAGAGCCCTCCTGCGTTTATGATGATGCCGCCCCCTCCGTTTCCCTTCTGTCCGAGGTTTTTATGAATTCACCATCACAGCCCTCTTTCTGTCAATAGCTGCCCAACATCGACTGATGCAAAACATCTGACAAACGTGGCTGCTACGAGACCAAGTGGCCACACAATCCTACTGGGACTGCAGGACATTCCTCTGCCGAATGCGCACAAGACGGCAGCCCTAAAAGTCATGGACATAACCGAGGCCCAGAGGCCCACCCTGCCTGCACTGCCCGCTTGAAACCGAGTGCTTTCCGAGGCTGCACGGCAGCGTTGCCTGATCGGCTGGCATCCTTTTAAGACGCCATGCTGAGGGCGAGGACGTCTGCCCTCTGCTAAGCGAGACACTGAGGAAAGTCATACGTGGTCTTCCCCAACCTTGCCCCCTCCAGCTGTGCTGGTCGGGGATAATGGGAGTTGTAGCCCAAGGCAGCTGGAAGGGGCCAGGCTGAAGAAGCCAGGTTTACAGTATTGGGCTAGCAAGCCTCAAGCTGCACCTGTTGAATTTCTGTCTGCGCCTAAAAGCAGAGAGATCCCACCAAGCAGAGAGAGAACATGCTGTTCTTGCTGGGGAAGTGCCCCCCCCTTTATATGCCCAGCCTCTCATACTGAAGTTCGCCAGCTGCCCCCTGTCCCCTTCCAGGAAGCCCACTCGAGCCAACGCCTCTTATCTCCCGGTGAAAGACGTGGCACCCACGGAATGGGGAAGGGCTCTTCCCAAAGATTCATGTAACACCCACGACACGTCAGAGAAGTGATAAGGCGCCGAAAGCCTCATTCTCTTCTGTGACCTCCAAGAAAAAGGGACACGCCAAGCTGCACCCCTGCTGTCAGTTCCGACCCTGACACTCCGACCTTCTTCGGACATCAAACGTCCTCCAGGAAGAGCAAAGGGAACATCTGCAGCAGAAATCTGGGATTGCCCCCTCCGAGGTACACAAGGGCCGTTTCCACAGTAGGGAAGCTTTGCAGCCAATCCCTGCAATTAGCCAGAGGCAGAATTAAGATGGCGACGCCACGCAGCACTCACTGCAGAACCACGTGTCCGGCCAGGACCCCCTCCCCTCCCCTCGCGAGGCCCTTCTAGGAATTTTACACACTAGCAAACCCGGCGCAAAGGTCCTTTCCAAAGGTAATGAAAAGCATCGTGGTGGCAGCTGCTCCCACACATGTGGAGGCTGTGGATTAACCAAGCAGATGTTGAACCGTCTTAAGGAAGTGTCATCTTCTTCAGAGGGTTGCTAAGATTGTCTGCCTCGAAAAGCTGCTTCTCCAAGAGGAACGTGCAGGTCTTACCGAGACACGTGCGTCGGCCTTCCGACCGTACCCCTAACCGGGGAGAAACGACCAAGAACGAGAGTGCCGTCTGGGGTTTTTAATGTATTTATTTTGAAAATCAGCTCCTCGCGAAAGAGTATGCCAAAGAGAGCATGGGCTTCCCCCGTCAGCCCTAAACTTCGGGCTGCCCGCGGCGGGCCAGCACTGAAGTGTCGGGCATGCGCTGAACCGCTGGCTGCAGCGGGGACATCCATGGGCAGCTTCCCAGCTTCTGATGCAGTGCCAAGCTTCCTTGAGGGCCGGGGCCCTGGGAGGAGGAGGATACAGAGGCCAAGCATTAGTGCTGCCGGCATCTTGCCCTCCCTGCCAGCAGCATGGCCTCCCTCTTGAGTCCTGGCCCGGCCCGGTGCAGCTCTGCAGGGCCCCCCGCAGGCTGTTCGTCCTCAGAGGCCGGCTGTGCCTAGCTCAAGCCAGCCTCGCCCAGTGGGTGTGGTGGCCCACTAGGCCCACCGGCCGTGCTGGCGAGGGATGATGGGACTTGTGGGCCCCCGCTTGTGTAGGGCTGACAAAGGCGCAATAATTCTGATGTATGCGCTGGCCGGAATGCATGGCGTTTCGGTGGCTTTGAAGAAACGCTTCCCACACACCTGGCTTTACCTGCTGGGTTGTGAGCCCTCCCACAACCTCTTCGCCCACCCGTCCTCAGCTGGCCTCTTCCAGGTAGTTTGAATTTCAAATCTCACCATGTTAGTCCCACAGATATGGAGGGCACCAGGACTGATCGGATCCCTCCACCAGGAACTTGCATCTCTCCCCCTGCCCCCCGACCGCCCCTTGAAGGACGTGGCTGCGGGGGCAGGTGCGGGAAGGCTCCCTCAGGCTGCTGGAGGGCTGCTGCACTGCAGCCCGAAGCACAGGCTGCACCTGATCCGGCCAAGGGGAGCACCTGTGCTGGCCACACGAGCCAACGCAGTCTGGCTGCAGGCCACGCAGACGCCTCCCACCGGAGCTGGCGAGAGGAGCTGGCTCTCCGCCTCCGGGCCTTCAGTGCTCACAACACCTCTGCGGTGCATCCTGCGGCCGAGCAGTTTGCACCGTCTCCGGCCAGCTGAAAAGCCTCCCCAGCTACTCGGACCCCTGCCCTGCCCCGCCCCGCCCCACTAGCAGGCTGGGGGGCAGGCCCACCGAGTTTCAGAGCGCAGCCGAGCCTCAGGCTGCAGGGGCCACCAGCAAGGGGCCCCAGAGGGAGGACGAGGAAGTGGGGCCACGTACGCAGGCAGAGGGCCTGGGGCTGGATGGCTGCGGCAGCCGCTGTCCAAAGCGACCCAGCAACCTGGCAGGCAGAGCCCAGATCCCCAGGGACGGGCTGCCGCTTCCCATCCGCCGTGCCAGGGAGCCACCGGGCGGCCTCAGCCGGGGGAAGGCGGGTGCCGGCTCAGCCCGCCAGGAAGGCCCTCCGCTCACCTGCCCCGCCCCGGGTCCTAGTCGTCGATGTACTCAAAGGGCTCCGGGGGCTCCGGCTCCTGCTCCTCCTCCTCGATCTTCGGCCCGTGCGCCGCCACGGGCTCCACCAGCTCCTCGGTGTCCTCGCTGGTGTCCCGCAAGACGATGATGCCTCCGATGGAAAGCTGTGGGGCGGAAGCACCACGTCAGCCTTTGCGGCCGCGTGCCCTGGCTGCGCATCACGCTCCCGCCGCCCTTCCGGTGGAAGCCCTTGGTGGAGGGCGAGGCGACTTACGTGCTTGAAGGGCTGGTAGCGGCAGCTCTCTGGCATGGTGAGGACCTTGAGCTGCGCCGGCATCACCCGGGCCGGGTTGTCGAGGATCTGGAAGGACGGCTCTGGCTCCTTCTTCTTCTCCTTCTCATCCTTCTTCTCGGTTTCATCCTGTTTGGGGAGGGGGAGGTGAAATGAACCGCCCGCCTGCCTGCCTGCCCACCTCTGGGCGAAGCGCCCACGAAAGGGCAATGGCGCTCTGCCAGGAGCACGGGTGCCACTCCCTCCGTTGCCATGTCGGGCCCGGAGCCACTCGCGTGCCCCAAGGCCCGGTCCTGCTGGCCACCCCCAGGCCTGCCGAGCTCCCCCCGGCACACTTCCGCACCTCTTCCCCCGTGTCGCACGGCAGTCGTGGTGCCCAGGCCCCCGCCACCGCGCGGGTCCCCGAGTGGTGGCCAGGCGTGCCACCGCAGACCCAGGGGTGCCGCCGCCACTCTCTGCTCCGGGGCCGGGGCATCCCACTGGGCCGCTCACATGGGGCAGGCGAGCGGCAGCTGCCGACCCTCCTCTCTGCTCCTGCCTGCAGCGGCCCAGGCACGTGGGGGGCACGGCCCGGGCAGGGCCTGCAGGCAGGGCAACCCTCTGGAGCACTGCGGGATCCCTCATGGTAAAGAGAAGAATTCCCATGGCATGAGATGGCGCTCAGAGCAGAGGGAACAATCCTAGCAATAACACGCCCAATGGGCGCTAATGCTGAAACCCAACACAACCGACGAAGAAAAGTGGCGCTTTAGGGGGTCAGAGCGTGCTTTGAATTGCTACCTGAAGCAGCCTGGTTCCCCCACAAAGGGCGCCCTGCTGCCTGTGCCTGGCACAGGCTGCTCTGGCCCTTGCGCTTCCCCACTCCCCTCCTCCCCCTGCCAGAACTGGAGTGTACAGGCCTTGCGAAACCCATTCTATCTGTGTTTCATGGGTCGCCAGGCATCTTTCATTCCATCCTCAACAGATTAATCTTTTAAAAATCAGAATTTTGTTCTAGCTATGCTAATTCACACCTGTGCTCAGATCCCACCCCTTGCCCTACAAAGTGGAAAACTGCTGGGTAAGCCCAGGAAAAGTCACTCCACTGCGGGACCCACAGGCCGGATCCACAGAACTCCGAACTTATGGACCCCGTGCACGGCAGGTGCCTCAGACGGGGCCAACAGCAGGCGAAGGCGGCTTGCGACTTGGCCAGCACTGCGTGCCGGATGCTGCTCTGGCCGTGTCCGGCCTCTGAGGGCTGGCAAGATCAGCAGCAGCCCCTGGAAGCAGCGAGGAAACCCGGGGAGCCGAAGGAGGGCTGGCGTCGCCTGAGGCTGGTACGAGGCGCAGTCGCAACTGTGCGCACACGACAATTAGCCAGCCCCGACGGGGACCAGCCGCCACCTCCAGGCCTTCTGTAAAGGCTGCCCCCAGTGGGACAAACCATAGCAGTGCAGCCCAGAGGGACCGGGCAGGCCCGTTTCCTCTTCAGGAAAGGTGGCAGGTGGCAAGCAGCCAAGCAGGAGGGAAGCTGCTGCCACTGCTTCCCGGCAGCTGCTGTCCTCAGGGGGCAGGGAGTGGAGCTGGCAGCGGAGAACAGGCACGCCAGGCCCCGGGCGAGACACACAGCTGGCAAGCCCTCTGCTAGAGGTGCTGGGCATGGTCCCAGACAGAGACAGAGACAGAGGCCACGATGAAGACCCACGGCAGCCCCCCGTGAGTGCAGAGAGTGGCGTGAGCTGCAGCCCGACTCGTCTGGAAGGCACCGGGCGGGGAAGCGCTGGCCTGAAGAACCACAACGGGAAGGAGCGGCCGGCTCACGGCCAAAGGCCGGGCAGAATGGGGCCGGTCCTTCCTACCTCCAGGCCCCGCTGCAGCATTCCCGGAAAACGCTTCAGGTGGTAAGAGAATCGGGCACTCACCACTTCCATTTTCTCCTCCTCCTTCTTTTCTTTCTCCTTCTCCTTCTCCTTCTTCTTGGCTTTTGCAGTGATGGAAAGCACGGCGGTGGAAACCTGAGTGGCGCAACGAGAGGCACGGCCTTCAGAGGGCAAGCTCGCCAGAGTGCCCGGGGGCAGCGACGGGCAGGCAATGGTGCCACTCCAGGGCAGAAGGTGCTATGCCTGGGTGGGCAGCAGAGCCTCCGAGACCCTGGCGAGCGGCACACGTCCTGCAGGCCTCGTGTGGTCCCTGCCACCAAGTTCTGGCAGCACAGTGGCGGCCAAAGTATTGCCAGTTGCCAGTGAATGTTGGCAGTCAAGAGATGCTGCAAAGGGGCAGGAAACCGCACACCAGCTGGTCCCGTGCAAAGCAGCAGCAGCAACTAGCAGAGCGCCGGACTATCAGAATCTCCGAGTCCTGAGCTGCTTTCGGGACCAATCCGGAGATCGTATTTGCCTGGGAAGAGCATGTCCTGTAATTGTCACGTGAGCGGTCCTCCAGGTGCGGTGCGTGACTGAGACAAGCGTCTGTCTGGGAGGAGGGAGGGAGGCAGGCTTGAGCGACGCAGGACTGGCTGCCGCTGCCCGTCATAAACTCTTGCGAAAAACGCGAGTTATCGGGAAGTACGTACAAAAGCTCAGAGCAGAGGGGAGCGCCTTGTGCTTTGGACCGTGGGGTCCCTCGTGCAACAATGACTAGCGGCATTTGTCCTGACCACCTGCAAGCCAGGGGGGCCGAAGTCCCCCCTGCTTTTTCTGGCCGCCAGGGGGGCCGAAGTCCCCCCTGCTTTTTCTGGCCGCCAGGGGGGCCGAAGTCCCCCCTGCTTTTTCTGGCCGCCAGGCGACCCGCGTGGCCAGAGGCTGGGCCCCAGCAGGACACCCACCTTTTCCTTCTCCTTCTCTTTTGGTACTTCCAACGGGGCCGGGTAGGCAAACGTGGAGGGCTTGACGTTGGATCTGTACTGCACCTTCGGCATCTGCAAAGGGAAGACGCTTGCGATGGCATCATCAGAGCTCGAGGCAGCGACCAGAGAGCACAGTAACGACCTCATGCAGCACACAAATCACGTAAAGCATAAACGCTTCCTCTCGCGCTCTCCGGAAGCGCCGAAGCCATCAGCGGACCCATGTTCCGTGGAAACATTATTATTCCATTAGGAGGCAATTTAGCTTTCTTGAACTCCCGCACGGTACAACGCATTGCTGATGCTCTGTTTTCTCTCCTGGTTTTTATGTTTTAGTTATGACTAAAATTTGGTACAGAATTCAGTACGCTGAGAACCTCAAGTTTAAACACACACACACACACACACACACCACTTCTAGCCTTCACGGGCTGCAAAGATAGTGTTCAGAGAGGTGGATTTCCCAAAGGCAATTAAGGAATAGAGAGCCTGAAGGGGCTTCAAAGGATGCTGGGAGAAGAGACGGTTTTGTGCTGTGTAGCCCACTCTGCCTCCCCACAGATCCCCACTGCAGAGGCCTTCCCAGTTCCACTGCCAGTCTGCATCCCCCGGGCTCCTCTGCAATTAGGAGTAAATATTTATCCTGCCCTCAGTAACTGTGGTCACGGTTACTGCTCTGGATGCCTGAAGCAAAGTTGTCGCAGAGAGCAGACGCGGCGACTGCCATGTCTGCAGACTGTACAGTTCAGAGCACGGCTTGAGCTCACATGGCTGAGGACCCCGAACGACTCCAGCACAGATTTTCCCCCGGCACTCTCACTTTCCGTGCATGGGGAGGTGTTTTTTTTAAGGATAGAGGAGAGTTCGGTGATGTAACCTCCCACTTGCAGCCAGAAGCAGAGGATTCCAGAAAATGGGTCCGTCAGCTCACTGGACGTCTCTGAGAATTAGGCCGAAGCCCTCCTGCCTCAGGGCTTTCACTGCTGCTGCTGCTGCTGCTGTTTCATTGCCAAGTCTTGCCCGACCCATCACGACCCTGTGGACAACATTCCTCCAGGCTCTCCTGTCCTCCACCATCCCCAGGAGTCCCCAGCGACTCCGTCTAGCCACCTCATCCTCTGCGGTCCCCTTCTCCTTTTGCCATCAATCATTCCCAGTTGCAAAACTGACAGGGATACGAAGAGCTGGCCTTGCCCGATCGGTTGCTCTTCAGATGGGACGGACTGTGACCTGCGGCAGTGCAGCCTGGCATACCTGGAAGGCTTCAGCATGGAGAAGGCCGGCCTAAGGGGTGCAAACTCCAGGGGCAGGAGTCTGGGGCTGGCTGAAAGTGTGTTCACACTCTCCGAATACTGTGATTCTCAGAATGCGTTTGGGTGGAGATGTTCTACCCAGGAGAACACTTCAGAAATTCAAGTGGACAAAGGGAGCACCCGGGAGCCTCCCAAAAGAAAAGTTCATGGCAAATGCTATTATATGGCTCATACTTTACTCTTACAAGTATAATAAAATACACGTAAGGTTAAAACAGAGGCAACCACACTGTAAGATTCAGTCCTTTCCATTGACTGAATTAAAATATGGCGGCCAGGCAACGACGACACTGCGCTCAGCGTGCAAGACCTTTGCGAGCAATAGTAAGATCTCTTATGTTCTTACGTCTGCATCTTTATAGCCCTTCGCTTTGGTAGATCCAAAAACTTCGGTCTACATCTAGTATAGCCTTCTCCAACCTGGCAGTCTTCAGAAGTGTCTGGACTGCAATTCCCAGAATTCCCACCCAGCAGGCTGTTGACTGGGAATCCTGGGTGTTGCAAGGTGCAAGGCTGGGAAAGGCTGAGCTGGTGGGTTTAACAGCAAGTAACACAGTCCTCTGCATCCACATGTGCTGGTGGATTGCCATAAATTGCTCAGGCTCTCCTTTGCACCCCAGAATTTCAGTTTTTTCAATAGAAACTTGATGTATCTTTTTCTGACACTCAAGTACAGGATCAGCCAAATCCTCCAGAGCTGGTTCTCCACAAACACGCAGTCGATCCTCCACTGGGATGCCATGGGACCCCCTTATGTCATCACGGTATCCTTCTGTTCATACCTGAGGTGTGGGAAGGCTTTCCAATATTCCATTTTCATAGGTATTGACAAATAAATCGAAGTTGTTGTTTTTAATGATGCAAGACTCTGGATTTAGGGCCTGGTCTGAAGGGCTTGGCTAGACAGACCTGTGGCAGCTTCATAGGCCCACACTACCAGGCAGTGCAGCCTCAGAAAACAAATTACTCAGTCTAAACTGGGGATGCCAAACCTCTGTCCGCCTGAGGGGTAAATTCAGTTTAGGAGACACTCTTAGATTTATGCTGCCACTAACAAACATTTAGGTTTCAATCAAGTGCTGTTTACACATTCTCAACCTTCTACTTGCAGCCCTAAGGGCTAGAAACTTTAAAGAGAGGTAGATCTCAGGATACTGAGGATCACTGATGATGCGACGACAAGCACCAAGAACACAACGAGCCCCGATTCTGCCTGCTGCAAGGATGGAACCAAAGGTCCGTGTTTTGAGGATGGCAAGAGCTATGCAAATTCCGGAGCAGCGGTATCCCAAATAAAGCCCCCCCCCCCCCCCACAAAGCTGGCAAGTTGCTTTCTCTCAGTTGCTACTGGGACAAAGTCTTGCAGTGTTCGGGAGGAAATTAAAGTCCGGCGCAGCACGCCTCTCCTCCCACCCGGACCCCCTTGCTGGGACAGGCCAGCTGCACAAGCTGCGCGCAGCTCTGCATCCTGAGCTATCTGCCCTACACCTGCGGATGCGCAGCCCCTTCCTTGACGTTGCCAGGGAACGGTGCCCTTCCTTCGCAAGCCCACCGACAGACGGAGGCATCATGCTCTCCATTGCTGGGGGCCCATGCTCTCCTCCGCGGAGGAGCCTTGCAGGAGTGACCTTTCGGAGCGCTGATATGATGCCGCGCTTACCGCTGACTCTCTTGCCCACAGGAACCAAACAGCATCCAAACTTGAGGGAACAGAAAATGGTCATACTCCACAGGTCTATCAGAAAGGGTGATCCAGAAGAGGAAAGATGTGCCATTTAGGCTAAAGAGGTACCGATGGGGATGCTGGGAACAGTGCTCCTGAAAGGCCCGCCTGGGTTTATGATGGAATTGCAGGGGTTGGGAAGGATGGGATGGTGGTCCAGGACATCTGGAGGGCACCAGAATTGGGGAAGGCTTCTGTAGAGGCGAGTGCGTGCAGGGAGAATGCTTTATTTCAGTGATTCAACTCCAGTCCTAGAAATGTTTCTTAGCCACCCTCCCCTGCCTCTGCCTCTTCGGCAAGTGCTGCCCACACACTTTCAAGCACACCTTTGTGGCTCCCAGGAATTTGATTTGAACTAAAGCAAAAATCCCCATTAAGACAAATTCTGACAACCAGGGGCCTTTTTTCCATTTCGAAATGTCAGGGTTCATTGTTCTGGAGGCAAGACCACATATAAGTGTTTTAAAATCAAATAAATGCAGACAAGCATATCAGCCAGTACGCCTTGCGATTTTACAGGGCTCCTGGGTAAGAGACGTTGCGTCTCATGAAAATTGCTGCCGCTTATGAGCTTAGTGTGGACACCCGACAGGGGCAGTCTAGAAATCCAGAGCTTGTGATCCACCGATCTGTGCCTCACGAGTGGCAGGCAGGTGGACCAGCCTTGTGCAGGGCTGGTTAGAAGGGCCACTGCTCCTAGGGCCGTCTCCGGCAGAGCCAGCAGCAGCTTCTGAAGTCTTGCGGGGCGGGGGAACGTTTTGCCCTGGCCTGCCATCCAGGTCTCCCTCAAGAGTGATGCTAGAGGGACTGAACCAGGGGCTTTCTGCATGGAAAGTCTGGACAGACTCTGCTTGGAGGACGTAGCCTTTCTCTTGGTGCCGTCTGGTCTGACTTGGCTAATGTTCTCCAGAGTCTTAAGCAACTGTTTTCCAATACCTGTTACCTGGCTTTTTAAAAATGAGAATGGCTGGAAATTGAATTTGGGACGTTTGGCATACAAGCCACATGCAATCATATCCTAGCTCATATCCTAGCATCCAAACATGAAATGGCAACCGCTAACATCCCAAAGCAGAAACTGCAAGTACAAGGGCAATGAATTACCTTCTGCAGGTGCACAGCCACACAAGAGCTACCTAGAGCCAGAGGCAATGCTTAAATGAGCAAAGCAAAGTGGCACTAAGCCTGCCAGGAAGCCCATTCAATGCCGGGGTACGTACCTTGAGGTCCTTGTTAAGGCCAATAACGCAGGTCGGAGTGAAAGCCAACGACAAGAAATGTGAGAGTGGAAACCAGAACCAAAACTGGGTGAAGACCAGAACTCCAACCACCGAAGGCATGTGCGTGTGTCCAGTTCTCGACTGCAGAGAAATTGTGACGTTGTGGCCACCTGCAGAGGTATCACAAAGCGGATATTGGAGGGACGGCTGCTCCAGTTCGGCCATTCCATGAAGCCAAGGCTCCCCACGTTCAACGATCTGAGGACGGGGTCTGGGAAGGAGAGGGGAAACCGGACTGCAAAAGAGGGGCTCTCCTGTCCCACTTCCACTTCTTTTCTCTTGGTGTATTTGTGCATAGTCTCCCAAGGGAGACCACTAATTGCGGGCTAACCCCTCCTGAGTGGACAGAGCGGCTCGGAAGACCAGCGAGAGCAGTGGACCAAAGCCACTAGAGCAGACCAAGCGACCTCTGTCCAGCCCAGCTCCCTGTTTCCAGGAGCAGCTGGCCAGGTGCTTCTGGCCACCCGCAAGCTGGACATGAAGGCAGCAGCTCCCCATCCCCAGCAGTTTGCTCCCAACCCCGGTCATGCAGGAATTCTGGGGTACACAAGCGGAAAACGCGGAGCCATCTCTCTGCATTCAGCTTTCTGCTAACATCGGTGCAGCGACACGTGCTTGAACGTCTGGCAAAACGGTCCTCTGTGTTCCATTTTTTATCTTCTCTGTATTGCCCAAACCCGTCTCTCTCGTTCTCCCACTCGGCAGGATGCAATATTATTTCTGGGTCCTCTTTTTTCCACCCACAGCCCTCAGACCATCCAGCACCTGACAAACCCTCTAGGGAGGTGGGGAGTTCCAGAGTTCACTTCCTCCCTGCAACCCCCAAGCAGCCTCCTCCTTCCGACGGGTTATAAATCTCAGCAATAGGATTAAACCTGCCAGAGAACCAAGCCCTGTAATATCATCCTTGCAAAGCACAGATCAAAAGAGCTCATCTGCTTGACGCAGCGCAGAAACAAGGCGACTTCAAGCCTTACAGAAAGGCCAGGCTTGTAGGGGGACTGGGAAGCGGTGGAGCTGATCTGCAGGGCTGCAACCGATTTGAGATGGCGCTGATGAGGACAGCGACAACGGTTTCCTGGCACCGTGGAATCCCAGGGCTGAGGGCCTAATCAGGTTACAATGCGCTGAAGCGTCAGGCTGTGCATGGAGGGAAGCGGCAGCCGCTCAGAAGCACTCCTCAGCCGCAACAGGCCTGTCTGGGTGTCCACTGGGGCGGCTGCCATCAACCCTAGCTTGGACAGAGGGGATGAAGACGTCATTATTATAGCCTGGTTTGCATGTAATATCAATCCATGGATCGTTAGTGGTAGCGTCTGAACCTGGAACCTGGGGTTGTTGAGGGTTCAGTGATCCAGAGTTACAACCCGCAGTTTGCTGTTGGGCTCAAATTCTGGGATGTCATGACCAACCAAGTGTTTCATGAAGCACATGAGTGACGAGCAGGCAGAAAGTGAGCTCATTCACAGTTGGGCACGGCGTCGAACCGCCCCTGGTCTGCCGTTGCATGGGAAAGGGGTCTCTGACATGTCTCAGTGCTTAGCGCATGCATCAAGAAAGGGCACCATGTGCTGGACCTGAACAGACTCGCTCAGCATTGCTGCCGATCCTGTGCTTTCTGACCACAGGCGCTCCCTCTCTCTCTCAAGCACACGCCCCCTCTGAGGAACTCTCAGTCCGTTCGCCATGGGGGAGACGCGTGGAAAGAGGCCTCGGAACCGATCCATGCACCAAGCCAACAATGCTGAAGCCCGCTGTGATTTAAGCTTATGCAACTCTGGAATTTTGGTTTGCAACATTTGCCCTTCAGACTTCAGACTGCCTAAAATCTGGCATTTCTCAAGCTGCTAACCTCACTGCTGAAGCATTGCATTCATACCGTCTCCGGTTTTGTTCTTGTTTTTCACTCTAGCTTTTCTTGGTTTCTGGGAGCAGCAGGAAAGGTGTGGGACCTTGTGCTCGACTGCTACTCGCTGGAGCGGAATTCGTTTTTCCACTCATGATGGCCTGCAGGGACAGGGGGTGCTGCAAGACGCCTCGAAAGTGATCTCAAGAGGGGATAATGGGACTCTGCCTGTTCAAGAGCCATCTGTGCCCAACAGCTCATGTTTTCTTTAGACAAACAGCCAGGCTCTGCCACTTCAAGCCAAATACAGGATGTTGACAGAAGGCCATGACAAACTATGTAAAAGCAGCTCAGGATATATAGTCTGACCAAAGAACTCCAATGGCACTCTGCTCAGAAACAAGGGCTGCATATTTGCGCTGGCTTTTGCTCCCCACATCAAATCAGTTGCCACATCATGTTGCTTTTTGTGGTGGAATACTGGAAAAATGCACCGATCCCTCTTCCTCTCGGTTAAAGCCCTTGTCCAGGCTCCGGTTTTCTTTCTCCTTTGGTCTGGCCTGTCTTGGTCACACCTCGGTCCTTTGAAACTCGGATACGAAATCTAATCTCTTCTCTGACACCTGGTCCTCCCGTTGTCCTGCTCTGACTCCTTTGCTGGCCAAGGGGGGCACCTCTCCGCACCCAGATCCCACCCAAGAATGCTCCGGGGAAGTCTGCTATGCCATGGCCTTGCTCCATTATCTGGGAGATTAGAGGCTCTGCTGGACTGCTGATCTCAGCTCCACTGCTGCTGAAGTGGCTGCAAAGGCTTTTGTTGTCAAAGAAAAGAGTTATTGGAAGCCACCAGGAACCTTGGCAAATAATGATAAGCTCCCCTCCCTCAGAAATCAATCATTTCACCCAACAAAACCTAAACAGCTCTCCTTTCTTAAGCTTGATTCAGTCACAGCCACAGACATTTCGAGTTACCCTTCCCATAACCTCCTGAGATGGGCTCTGGGTGTCAAGTCCCATGAAACCATGCAGCCTAATCTTTCTATCTGGGTGTGATGAAATCCACCCTCAAGATGCAAGGTGGTATCATTCTGTCCCTCAGAAAGAATCACGCTTTTCATCAGACAATGGGGACAAATCATTTTGTTGAGACAGCCTGAGATATGCGTCCAGAAAAGAATGGTCAACCGCTACATTCAGAGAGACGGCAAACTGGGGTGGGTTCAATTTCAGAACGTGTCAACCTAGTGATTCATGCACACAATAAAATCCAAAAGGCCAAGTCTCATTTGGAGCGCTGCTCTACTGATGTGCTTTATCAGTGCAATTGCTCCGAACAACTCTAATAATTAATGAAAAGCCCATTTCCAATTGTGCCACAGGAAACTCAAAGCGAGGCAGGTAACAACAGTACGTTTTGAGAAGGAGTCTGATGCAACCTTGGAGCAAAGGTCTTTTAAGGACTCCGGCTGCCCCTGTGGATGTGCTTCCACGTTTGAGGCTGCCATAAATTCAGCTGGGTAGCTATGGGCAGCCCACAACTTCTCGGCCTCGCAGGGACCAGCAATGCTGCCCTGCCGAAAGGACTGTCAGAAAGCGTACAAGGTTACCATACATGAAGCATTCTGGATATTCCGGGTGGGTCAGTCCTCTCCAGCTGCTGCCTTCCAGATGTTTTGGATGACAATTCTCAGCATTTCTGACCACTGGCCATGCTGGTTGGGGCTGATGGGATTGGAAGTCCAAAACATCTAGTGTGCACCAGGAAGGAGAAGTCTGCTTGAGGTAAATGTTGGATACGTAAGAAGCTTCCAGGTTCTAATCTACTCACCAGCAGCAAACCTCTGAACAAAAGGAACCAGACTGAGCATATAAATGCTGGCATGTGTTACCTGGAAGTAGGGCACCCCCACCCCCTGCAAGACAAGCGCTTCCAACACGGAAGAGCACAATGACTCCGTGGGGTATAGAAAATTCAAGTGCATGAGATGACAAAGCCCACCTCTGCCATGGCACTAGTTGGATTTTGCTCAGCAGCGAACAGAACAAGAGCGTGAAACCGTCTTCTTAGGAGCTCTTGAGACACTGTCAGTGGCGGTTCTGAACCCACAAATTCACAGCTCGCAGCACAGCAATTTCTTTTCTGGATTAATGGATGTCAAACAGCAGGATGCCTTTGAAGGTGACCGTGAGAGCGCCCAAGTCTCTGAATGTGTGCGCACTGTTTAGTTTCTTGCCTGCAATGGTCTTGTGTCCAAATATATGCAGGCACTCCAGAACGTGTGTCCAGCTGATAAATTATACCCTACCCACTCCTGAATAGGGGCCTGCTTGCTACATATCCCAGGACGCCTCATGCGAGGAGAATGCCATCTGGCCGTTTCCCTCCTATTACAGCCTGGCCTCTGCAGCAGCTGACCTCATCCGCTTGGTGAATGAACTGGCAGGCAGTGGAGATGTTAGCACAGATCCATTTTGCACGTGACAATCAACAGGCATACGAAAAGATGCAGTTCCACTTGGCTGCACACCTCTCTCGGCATCGATCCAGAGGAGGTGGCACAAAGGCTTTGCCCTTCCCCGAATTCCGGCTCAGAACCAGCTGCCGCAGCACCTCCTCCCTCCTTCAAATCCCCCCACCTTTCCACGAAGGATTCAGCAAAGCCATACTAGAATGACATGTCAGTATGTGCAACCGAAGCAAATGCGTACCATTTCTCTGTTTATATCCTGCCTTCACTTCCCACCCCTTCCTCCCTTTCCCCTCTGCAGAATTTTAGACTATAAGCTCCTTGGGGTCTGTTGCAAACTGAGAAGTGGAATGCATATTAACACAGGGATGGGGGGCCATTTTCAGCCTCAGGGTTAAATTCCACTTTGGAGAAATTATCAGAAGCCACAGTCTAGCGGATGGGGCCACAGGGTAATGGGATGGGGCCAAAAATGTGAAAAATATAGCATACTTCAATGCTCTTCCTAGCAATAACTGAGTTTCAAGGAGAAGCACTGAAACCTTTTAGAATCGGGGGGGGGGCTGTACAAAAACAGGGAAGCCACTGCATGAATGACAGTTGGGGAAAACCGGGGGGGGGGGGAGCACGGCCATGAAACCCAGAAGGATGACATCACCCCCGTCAGGACTCTCCTCCTCCTCCCCTTAAAAACCCAAAGCAAAATGCTGTCAAGGTGCACATTCCACACGTGAAGCGAAGAAATAAGCCTGGATGGGCCTCGTGTGAGTCAGCCTGTTCAGCTGATTCCAGCAGTGTGCCGAATCCACCTGGTAAATGAATTAATTTACATACAGGGACTGCCTAAGCCCAAGGAAGTATTGCAGCATCGGAAGTACCTGCATCCAATATGCCTTGAGCGAGGATCGCTCCAAATTTGGCCATCACATCATCGTGTTTATCGTTGATGACTTTGGAATACAGCTGTCTGAACTGGCTGACCTGTGGAACAGAGAGAGAAAAAGCACAAAGTTCACATGCAATTATCAAAACAAACTACAGAAAAGGAATACTGCAAGGTGCAGGGAATCCCAAGTAGAAAACTCAAAAACAAAACGCACAGAAGCATGACCTCTTCCAATAAACCAGTTCACAGTATACCCAAACGCACAAGGGGAAAAGGCAGCACCTGCCGTCCTATAGGACCAGAAAACGGAGTTTAGGGTGTAACCATCCAGGCACATGTTTACTCAGAAGCGGATGCTGTAAATAGGCACGGGCAAGAGCAGCGTAAGATGCTTATACACAGGGGTGGCCACCTGCCTTTCCCCCTTGCTTTCTCGTACAAAGGAACATCCTTGTGCAGCAGCCAACAAAGCAAGCCAGCACATTTCTGTACAAGGACAAAGAGTATGTTCCTAAAGCAGGATGCAGTTCTTCCCATTACTCCATTCGCCTTATAAATCAAACGAAATTATGGAAGCCACTAACACGGTTCATTCCTAAGCCAATTCCCCTGCATGTTTAGAATTGCTTTAGAACAATGAACCGAGCAGAATTTCCGTAAAAGCTGATGATAAAAGGAAACATGGAAGACTGCCTTATATTCATGCAGTATTTATTTCACTGGAAAGGCTTGAAATTGCTTTAAAAATCTTTTTTTGGGGGAAAGACTAAACAAGGAAGACTTCAAGGCTCCAACTGCTAGTAAGGGTGACCTTACACAAAGCATGGCTCCACAAGCTTTTAGAGGAGAAAACTCAGTCCGAGAGAACACGGGAGTGGGGGATCCTTGGGCAGTGGCACCAGTGTCTTCTGCAAAGAGGATCCGCTGGTGGGGGGGGGGGTCCCCTGTGGTTCTTTATAAGTAGAGAGCGACTCTTCAGTGGTTTGGGGGGCTCCTGCCAGCACTGCCCAAGGGCAAGTCTTCCAAGTCTTCCAGACAGGGTCAGCTCCTTGGTTCATCCAGCCCTGGCAGGTTCCTGGTAAGATCCTTTCCCACCCCTACTTATAGATTCATAGAATAGCCGAGAAGGAAGGGGCCAAGAAGGCCCTCGGGTCCAACCCCCTGCTGGTCTATGATGCGAAGTCACACCATCCCACTCAGATGGCCGTCCAGTTTTGCCTTGAATGTCTCGAGTGTGGGAGAGCCCACCACCTCTCCGGGCACCTGGTTTCATTGTCGTATTGCTCTGACAGTGAGAGAACTTTTCCTGATTTCTAGCCTGAACCTGGTGTGTTGTAGTTTAAGTTTGTTGTTCCAAGTCATACACTTGGGGATGGGTGAGAAGAGGACCTTTCCTTCCTCTTTGTGCACTTTGCAGAGGGCTATCATGTCCCCTTTAGAAGATATCATATCTTTATCTTTATCTTTAAAGGTATACTATCTTTAGGAGGCCGGATACTGAAGATGAAACTCAAATACTTTGGCCACCTAACGAGAAGGAAGGACTCCCTGGAGAAGAGCCTAATGCTGGGAACAATTGAAGGCAAAGGAAGAAGGGGACGGCAGAGGATGAGGTGGCTGGATGGAGCCACTGAAGCAGTCGGTGTGAGCTTGAGTGGACTCCGGGGATGGTGGAGGACAGGAAGGCCTGGAGGAATGTTGTCCATGGGGTCACGATGGGTCGGACACGACTTCGCGACTAACAACAACAACAACATCATGTCCCCTCATCGTCTTCTCTTCTCTTCTCGAGGCTGCACAGGCCCAGCTCTCTCAGCTCTCATTGCAGGGCTAGCTCCTAGGGCTGGACCAGGGAGCTCCATGCAAAGCAGGCACTGCACCACTGTGCTATGGGCGCCCCTGGGAAATAGGACAAAATGGGGACATTTGTGAGATAAGCAGCAATGTTTCCATATGCACGTGAGGCACCTCGAGCGTCCCATTCAGGACAGAAAAGATTTGTTACTTGGCAACTTATGACTTTTCTAGAAACCTGGTAGGGGAGTCATTTGGTAGAAAAGTGCAGAACGAAAGAGGGGGCGATAGGGGGAATGACAGAGCATCTTCCCCCGTAACTCATTCTCTGATGCGAATTGCACACTCCGGAGAAAGTCTTGCATAGCTCAAGGATGGGGAAACTGGTCCTCCCGATATTTCCACTGGATTACAATTCCCATATTCCTTGAACAGCTGTGGCACTGGTTAGAGCTGAACAACACCAGAAGAGTTACAGATAACTCACCACAAAGTGCCCATCCCAGTCTTATGGCACACGCTAGTATCCGATCTGTAGTTCTGGTCTTAAATTTAATGAATAACTTCCAGGCTGCATTCACTTGTAACAATCCAGAGTATGGGTTGAATATAGGATCTCATCGGGTCATGGACTGTCAAATCCTGCATCACTGTTTAACTAAGCGTTGTCAACCATGACTAATTCAGAGTTCAGCACCTAGTAAAAAAACATGTCCCCCCTCCCTGGCTTCTTTGTGATTAACAATCCAACAACTCATGATCAAACATGCAGGATTAGCACTTAATGGCAACCTGAAATTCAGTCCGTACTCTGGAGTGCTGTTACGTGTGAACCAGGTCCTTGAGATGTGAGGAATGAGAACTGGGGCAGTTGCTGGAAATTACAGGTGACTGGAACTCTGGTGAGCAAATCAAAGTCTCTCTCTCTCTCACACACACACACAGAGCCAGAAAATTCTTATTTAAAAAAAGTAATCAGTTCTCCTCCCAGCCCTTCCCGAGGGCTCAGAGTAGCCCACAATAAATCAGAAAGAAAGGATACATTTGCACACACAGACACAAAAGACCCCTCAATTGACTTTAAAGGCCTCCTCACCCCACTCATGCACCCCCGTTTTCTCCAACTCGGTGTTCTCCAGGCCCATGCTATTTAGTGGCTTTGCATCCTGCCTTTATTCCTGCAAGGATCCCGAGGCAGCTTACACGATCCCCTTCCTCTTCTCCATTCCTTCCTCACAACAACCCTATGAAGGAGGTGAAGCTGAGAGCCAGTGACAACCCAGAGTCGCCCTGTGAACGTCATGGCTGAGGGGAGACATCAACCTGGACACCCCGAGCTGCAGTCCAACACTCTAACCGGCAGGCCCCACTGGGTTACGACTCCCAACTTTTCTGGCCAGCATGCCCACGATTTACGAGAGCTGTCGTGCAACACGTCTGGAAGGCGGGTACCACATCAAGGAAGGCTGCCCCACGCACACTCGATCCTAGCTGTTGAATGCCAGCCCCAAAGAGGGAAATTTGACAGTGATTTGCAAGCAATGATGTCCTGAAGGCGCCAAATCTTTCTCTCATTACTAGATTCTGCTCATGTGGGATAGGTGGAACAGGCTTAAAATCTTCAAAGGAAGCAGAAAGAGTTAGGTTTGAGTGTCTTTCAACACTTTGCATAGAAAAAAAGAATTTTCCCGGTAAGAAAGACAGCAAAAGGAGCTGCCACAAGATGATGAACGATTGAAACCAGGTTGCTTTTTGCTTAGGGTACTGCCACCTCATTCCTGTGGCTCTGAGGATTCATGGGTTCAGGTTGTTTATAAGCCTTTGACAGCTGCTATAAACGGTGAGAATTAAGGGGGAAAAGTTGCTAGCCACATGGGCCATGATCTGGAATTCACACCATAATCAAATCTTCAGAGAAAGACATCCTGGGCAAGGCCAGGAGACATTCTGCAGATCTGCTAATGTTCCCACTGGCGTCTGCAGTCTGACAGCAAAAGGCCTCTGTGTACGATGGGCAACGACTGCTGGCTGGTCAACTGCTTGGGACAGAAGCCGTTCGGCATCTCCAGTTCCGCTTGAACGTGGAGTCCCTCAGCCACACCCCACCAGAAGGCGACGGATGCCAGTGCCAACTCAGCATGCTTATCATCTGGATTAAAAGTGGAGGCAAACATCACAGCCCTGTCAAAAAGAGCCCCCTTTCAGAGCAGGGGGAAGAATTACCCCCTCAGGGAAGCACGGTCCTCCACCTCTTTGCACAAGTCCATGACCTGAAGGGCTTATGGGACTGGAATGAGGCAGGTTTGGGGCATCGGGCTCCCTCCTGTGGGGTGGACAATCCCGATGTGGGGGTGACTAAAGGATCCGACCACACACAATGCAGACACGGGTCAGAATTCTGCCCCTACTCCCTCTTCCCAAGAGGAGACCATCTGGGAAGTGCCAGGCCTGGAACAGTGGTGAGTCTTGGCACAGCAGAGCGAGCAGGGAGTCTGCTGGGTTCAGCGGCACACTGGCTGTGTGGATTTCACACGGAGCCCTTGCATCCTCGCGGGTTGTGTGCAGAAACGAACACTGAAATTTGCCCCCTCTTGCGGCAGACCCTCGGTCCCCTTGCCTAGGACCGCTGACCCCGACAGGCAATGGCTCTTCAAGGTTCTGGGCAGTTTTTCAAGCCCGACCTGGAGGTGCCAGAGAGCAAAGCTGGGACAGTCAGCCTGCAAAGCAGGGCCTTGGCCACGGAGCTGTGCTCAGTGACTGAGAAAAGCAAATGACAAGGGTGACCCATTTTGGCCCACGGAGGACAGCCAAACAAGATGCCCCATGTGCGGTCAAAAGCCATTGCCCCAGTGGGCAAACAGGCCTCCTGAGTCCAATGTAGTCAGGCTGGGGACTTTGAGGGGGCCAGTTCTTAACTCATTAGCACAGGTGTCCCGTTTTAGAGACTGCCCCTTTCAAAATGACATTTCCATTTTAGACGGTAGTGTTTGCTGTGGAGTTCAAACATGCTTGCTAAGAGACTCAATCCCAGGTTATGCGTTACCTTCATTCTGTCCCAACCTTTCCCACTGGTCTGATTATAAATTTATACGAGAAGAAAAATCCTTCTTTTCTTTGAAACCTTCCTTCCCTCCACTAGCCCTGCCAACTTCCTTCTAGAGATGTGAAGGCCCAGGAAAAAGCAGACTCCCTGTGCCCCTTTAATTTATTTACTGAGAAGCAGAACATTTGGAGGACCCTGAAACACTCCTCTGAAGTATTTTCTCATTAGGAATGAGTGAAAAGCTTTAAAAATATGCAG